TGATATGATAAGCAAAATCGGAATGAATCTTCCGCTAGAACACGGATATATACACTGCGACCTTTTTTTTTTGTGCTCTGTGTGTGTGTGTGTGTCTCTGTGTGTGTGTGTGTGTGTGTGTGTGTGTGTGTGTGTGTGTGTGTGTGTGTGAGAGAGAGAGAGAGAGAGAGAGCAGGTAGGTCTCCAACCTCGCGGCTGTCCTCATGCGACTTCCATCGATAGGATGAGCAAAATCGAATGGATAGTTCGCTATAACATGGAAATATACACTGCCGCTTTCTGAGCAAAATCGAATGGATCTTTAGTTGGAACATGGAAATATACACTGCCCGCTTTCTGCAATCGAGGGCAAAATGCGAAAAACCGCCCGCAAGACAAAGCACCACAAAAGCCACCTGGCCCCTCCCCGACTTGACCCCACGGCCGCAGGGCAAAAAACTTTGTGCAACCCGCGTCCTGCAAAGCGGGCCGTGACAAAGTGTGCACTAAACGACAAAAAAACAAAACAAAACGAAACGTTGCACAGGGCCTGTCCCATCCAACTGAAGCGCGGGACTTCTTTTCCCTGCTCCTGTGGGAGCATCTTCCGAGGACCGCTTTTGCCTTTAAGTATTAGTAGAAAAAAAGAAGGAAAAAGTGACGAGGCAGTGACAAGGAGGATGAGAGGTGGAGGAGGAGAGATGGAGAGAGAGAGGAGGGGAGATGGAGGCGTGATGGAGGAGGAAAGATGGAGGAGGAGGAGGTGAGGAGGAGGAGAGATGGACGGCGGCGAGGTGGAGGAGAGGACGAGGACGAGGACGACGAGATAAGGAGATAGCATGATGTGACGAAGCCGTGACAAGCAGGAGGAGAGACGAAGGAGGAGAGATGGAGAGGTGGAGGAGGAGAGATGGAGAGAGAGAGGAGGGGAGATGGAGGCGTGATGGAGGAGGAAAGATGGAGGAGGAGGAGGTGAGGAGGAGGAGAGATGGACGGCGGCGAGGTGGAGGAGAGGACGAGGACGAGGACGACGAGATAAGGAGATAGCATGATGTGACGAAGCCGTGACAAGCAGGAGGAGAGACGAAGGAGGAGAGATGGAGAGGTGGAGGAGGAGAGATGGAGAGATGGAGGAGGAGGAGGATTGATGGAGGAGGAGAGATGTAGAGATGGAGGAGGAAGGACGAGGAGAGATGGGGGAGGAGGACGGCTAGATACAGAGGAGGAACGATGGACGAGGAATGGAAGAGGACGAGATACCAACGCTAATCGAAGTTTACAGAAGAAAAGGTGATGACACCTTGACGAGGAGGGATGGAGGAGGAGGACAAGGAGGAGAGGAGGAGGAAGGTGACGTGGAGGAGGAAGTGACGAGAGAGGAGGAGAAGAGATGCAGGAGGAGGCGACGATGATGAGAGATGGAGGAGGATGCGGCGAGGAGCGAGGCAAGTTTCCAACGTCCCATGCGATGGGAAAAGAGACAAAAGACGACACAGTGACGAGGAGGGCAAATGAACGAGGAGGAGGAGAGCAGGAGGAGGAGGAGGAGAAATAAAATGTGAAGGAGGAGGAGGAGGTGAGTCCGAGGGAGGGCAGGAGGTCTGGTAAAGACTCACCTTGGAGGAGGGTTGAAGTAGGCGATGGTCGCTCCAGAACTCAGCCTCGATGATGGTGCAAACGCAGGGGGAGGTCGGCGCTGCTTGTAGCGGGGGACTGACGGCGCCTGCTTCCTGGAGTGGACTGGAGGTGGCTGCAACAACGAGGAGCAAACGGCCCGCCGAAGCCCTGCCGGTATCGACCTGCGAACGCTAGGAAACGCCCCCCCTGCCACCCAAAACGAAATTTGAAATCGTTTCGGGCCGCGCTTGAGAGCGGCCCGCTAATTTTTTTTTTCGGCCCCAAAACAATTTTTGCTGAGGGGGCGGCCCAGGGACGAATCGACATCCGGCCTTTTTTTTGGGGGGAGGGTGTTTGCCCGGGCCTTCATGCGCCGCGCCGTTGGGGTGCGCTTGAGCACCAACGGTCTGCTGATCAGCGCACGACGTGCTCTTGCATGTATGATCTGCACTGATCCGTTTGTCCTCCAGCTGTGCTCTGTTTCTGTTTGCCTCTTTCCTGTCTGTTGCGCTCTGTTTGCTCTATGTTTGTAACTTTGTGTGGCTTCTTTTTTTTTTTTCAATTTGAGAAGATCATACTGGCACTTCTTTTTTTTTAAATTTAATTTATTTATTATTAAACAGGTCCTTATGGCCCTGGCTCCATTTCCATTTCCGGGGAGCATCAGTCCGGTTCCTATTCCACCGGCAAGTCAGAATGAAATATGACATCATGAAACCAACTCACGCTTTCTTCCGTCTGGCCGAAGGAACCCTGACCAGCATTGATTACTCCGACATCATGGAGGATTGACTGTCAGCTTGCCTTACTTCCACCTTTCCTCTCAGGTTCACTGCATGAACCTGTCAGATATAAAAGATAAAGGGCAAGAAAGGTGAAAGAGGCTGCAGAGAGCGCAATCTCGGAATGCCCTGCAATATTACGTGGCCTGTGAAGGATCTTGTCCATGCTGGCTCTTTTTATTCCATTGGTTTCATCAACTTCCGTGGTTCGTCACTGTGTGCTCGTACTGTCTGGTTATGTGCTTGGTTTTCACAGGGATCACTTCGACGACCGTTTGTTTTGTAATCAGTATGGGGCCAGTCGAGGCTTGAATCGTTGTAACATTGTGTGTGGTACGTCAGCAATATATTGGTACTCTTCTGTTTTTGGCACTCTCGTGGTTGCCGTCTTGTCCTGTTTAGTTAGTGCAGTGGTTCTGCATTTTACAGTGGAGAGGAGTTTGGTATTTACTATTTAGCAAATGGAGGAGAGGCTTGCAGTTGTGTGCATGTGTTGCATGCTCTTGCGACCCACTACATATTCAATTTCTGTTTCCCATTTTTTTCTGCAGCAACAGGAGTGAACGAACACTCACTTCATTCCATGGTTGATCTTCGTTGTTGATTTGCAGCCTGATCCCTGTGGTGTCTGCGCTCATGGATCGGCTTCAACAGAATAAGATGAAGGTGGGTGAGCAAGGAAGAGCACACAGGGTATTCAGTACGCTCTGAAAGTCCCTTTGCGTTTGTCCTATAAGATGACCATTCGCGAATGTGAGGATGCTGATGTAATGTACAGCAGCGCTGATGCTTCATGGACTTTTTCTACCCACTTCCCTAGATAGGAAATGAGGTGGCTGTCGAAACATAAGTAAGGGTGTACTCACACTACCTCTATCTTACGTGTATCAGACCGTATTTACGGCCGGACCTGGATGTATCTATTACGTCCATAAATAAGTGAAAAAAAAGTTCTAGTGTGGAGTATGCCCTAAAATGATGAATTGAAACCTGAAAGCATTGTGTTGCATCCCTGTTCAATGAAGAATGAATCTCACTTTGTATGTATCTGACTGCAATTCAGTCCAGAGCCGGAGTCGAAGAAGTCGAAATGTCAGTATGCTCTCAGATTGCAAATCCATTTGCTAGCTCAGGTCAGGATTCTACCTTCTTCCCCCGAATACAACGTACGGTCATTATAGCTGTATTTAGACTGAAAGATACCCCAAGTACAGCAAGAATGATCGTACATTGTATTCGGGGGAAGAAGGTAGTGAAAGATGCCCCAAGTACAGCAACAATGATTGTGCATTGTATTCGGGGGAAGAAGGTAGTTTTGTCCAAACGACACTGCCAGTCCAGTATTTGTAATCCTTGTCTCTGTGTCCATTGTGTGTAATCCGTCCGTCACTCAATTCACGACCACTGAACCATGGGTTGAGCGCCCAGCTCGTGGTATGAGTTCTGTCTGTGACGCTCGTCTGCCATGTGTTGCGGCCGAGTTCTGAGGTTGGTGAACCCTGCTGCTGCTTCTGCGACCGAAATTTGGCGGTGGGAGTGGCGGTGGGCGGGCGATGGAAGCAGCAGCGGAGGCAGGCAGTAACTGATGTTGGGGGCGCGGAACTGTGGAATCCAGAGCCGTACGCACTTGGGTTGCTCAGGTTCTCGAAACTTTTATCTATAGTTCTGTTACTAGACTGTTAGCTCATTTCACGGAGAGTTTTTTGACTCATTATGTTTGTTTGACTGCAACGCAGCAATGTGGATGGCATTCTGAGTGTCTGACTTCAATTCTACAGAGAGATTTAGGCGATCTGCAAAGGTGTAGAACAGCAGGGAAGAAAAAGAAAAATATACATCAATATATCATATGTATTATGTACCATGGTTACAATCCGGACGTCCGGAGCCCAGTCCGGACTGTCCCCGTCTGGATGTCCAAGCGGACGTCCGGTCAGGTAGGTCCGGATTTTTATTTTTTAAATTTGGTGTGTGTTTTTGGTTGTTGAAGGCCCACTTCCAAAAGAATCGTTTTGGGAGTTTTTAACTATTTTCTGGCCCTTTCAGAAAGCCAAAGAGGACCGGGCTGTGACTGATTCTGTGTGTGTG